ACTCTTTTCACTCCTCGACCTGACTGGAGCATGTTGCAGAACTGCACTGCTTGGGTAGATAGAAATGAGCTTTGTTTGTGGTGAAAGCTCTGCCAGAGCAATTAATTTTGGTCTGAAGGCCAGTCCCGCCCCTTCCACCTGTGCTTCCARTTCTGAGGTCTTTTACACAAGATTCCCTTTTCACATGTCTTCAGATGACACTGTGTATGGAAACTTGGAACAAAATGAAACCAGTTGGCCTGGATCTGAACTTGATTATCCTCACCCAGCTCCTGGTGTAGAGCTGCCCAGTAACTTGCAAAGCAAGCACTGCTCGACTACTGCGTTAGCAGCTGCAGCATACTGAGGGAAATGGTGATTTTAGTGACTTTTCTTCAGGATTAACTGAAGATTAATCCAGGTTTAACCTGCTAGATGTTTATGGGCAACATGAAGTGACAAATATGGGAATAGTGCTCCTAGGAAGACTTAAAGGATGCTCTCTTTCTTTGTCAGCAGGTGAGGAAGGATATTGTTTTGATTTAGATATTAGAGGGTCAGAAAAAAAATCTTTGCAAACATCAAATGTACTATTCATCGGCAAGTGGCTGAAGTGCAAATGAGCAGGAATACAGTATCTAATCTTCTCAATCTGCTGTACAGACCAGACCCAGCTTAACCCAGCTGAAAGAGCACCTGACTCAAAAGCCCCAACCCCAGTTTAAGGGAAGTAAGTCTTAGGGAGAAGACACCGTCTGCTCTTGGCCACATTCACATAACTTGTGCCATTCTATAGCTTCTCTGGATCACAACAGCAGCCTAAAAACACAGCAGGGTCTGTGGCCTGCTGGGCAGGTTTGGGGTTGCTGCCTGTGGCAAAATCTTATCTTGTCTTGAATATTTGCCACAAGTGCCCCTATCACACAGAGAGGCAATGTCATTTCCGGATGCAAGCATCTCTTCAACAGCTGTTGGACAACCCGATTATTCCCTCGTGCTTCTCTCAGATCTCTGTGCCACCAAAGCAACTTGCTTGAGACCCCTAATGCTGAGTGGCATCTCTGTAACCTTGCCATGTTTGTGGCCAGCTGATATGAGGAAGTGGCCCCTCTTGCTCACATCAGCTACTGACAGCAAGAGAGACTTGTCACTCCTCTGGTGACTTTTAAACAGAAACCCTGCTGCCTTCCTACATAAATAATGCTTGCAAATGGGCCCTTCAGCAAAACTGCCTGCTGCCCTTTACTCCTAGCACTCGTATTCCTCAACGCTACCCTGGAGCCAGTGTAACCYCTGGAAGAATGCCTCTCATTTCCATGTTCTGCACTGTGAGCCACATACCAACACCATTATCAAACTGCATTTGGGACGCCCTTAGCAGCCCTAAGCCAGGGATGTGCTCAGACTGCACACTGCAAGCAACAGATGGGGCAGGAGCAGACACCACAGCCCAGCAACGACTGTTGGTTGCCACTGGCGCCAGAGCTGACACCCTGCCCCTGCATCCCCTGCCTTCTCTTGCAGCCATCAAGGTCCCTGCGCAGGCCCACCACTGCCACCAAACCATGGCCACAGTGTGTGCTGCCACTGGCACTGTGGGTGCGGGACCCGCCAGTGCAAGGTGCAGGGTTCACAGTCCTGGTCACACTGTGGGAGATCAGATGAAAGCAGCTCTCCCAAGGAAGCAGAAAAACCAGCGCTGTTCTGGCGCTGCTGGCTCCGTCTGCCAACACCAGTGTTGATGTAGGGGAGGCTCCGGCCACATTGGCTGGACAGCTCTGAGACGGCTGGAGGGTGCCAGCACCGTGCCACAGCGTAGCAGCAATCACGATGTGCCCACAGTTTGTCAGGATTCAGAGGGTTCTTCACTGCCCTTTCAAGTGACTCCCTTAACATTCTCAAGAAGTGTTTCCAGGCTCCCAAAGCAACAGCAGATATTGGAGCAGTGCAGGGAGGCCTGTGCATTGGGGTCTTCAATAACACAGCCCCAGCTGCTGAAGCTCGTAGGTCCTTAAGCACTAGGCTCATCTCCTCCCATATCCAAGGAAACATTCACTCCTCCAAGCCACCGCAGCAACAGGGAAAGCCAGCTCCTAGTCTCTGAGCATACATTTTAGATCTTTTCAATGACAGATGCAGGACACGTGGAACTTAGAGAGCTGCTGGCCCTACAAGCTGTGCGATACACAGCAGACGTGGAAATCCTAAAGGGTTGGAGGCACCGCTGAGGCTGCCGAAGAGCCTTCCCTTCCCTGGAGACCCTGGCCCATGCTGCAGTGGGAGGGATGCTGCCAGCCTCGCTTCTGACATGCAAGGATGGTCCAGGGGCCTTCACCATGCTGTTGCTGGCACTCCCCTCGGGCTCTTGGGCAAGGAGGCCTCCCAGCCCAAGCATCTTCATGTCGAGCAGGAACACCCAGCTCCTTCTCGGTGACCATGTGTAGGTGACATGGGACCACTGCATCAAGGACAGGCACCTGCTGCTCTTTCCAGATGCCATTGCTATTGCCAGCTTCAAGTATGAAGAATGACTAGAGCCTTCTACCCCACTACAGCCTCTGCCACCAGCCTGCTCCTGTTGCAGCAGGCAGTGGCTTCTTGGGGCCGCTTGCACAGCAGCAGGCCCAAAGCAGACAGGGACTGGTTTGTCTGAACTGTGGCAGTGTTCCAAAGCAAAGCAAAATGTGCTTCCCCATAAACCATAAGAGCTGCTGCTGGGTAGGGGATTTTAGCCACGATCTTTGTATTTGCCTCCACAAACAAAACATGAAAGTCAGGCCCTGCTCTTTTTCGTGCAGACATGGCTCCACCATCTGGCTGAAGCACTGCGTGCCTTCCGAGTAAGCTGCACGTGGTGTGCAGACAGCATGAGGCTGCCTGCAGGCAGAAATAGGAGGAGCTGTTTGGCATAAGAGTGCAGCAATACCCTCATGCTCATCTGGCCCACTAACCTGTGTGTGTGTGTGTGTGTGTGTGTGCGCGCGCGTGATCACTTTGTGTGACTCTTGGGGCCACGTTGTGGCCTGGCAGATGTAGGGCACAAGGCTCTATGGTTGAGTTCTCTGTGACCTTGCTGGGGCCCAGATCTGGCTGTGGGAGATGAAAGTGCTCTGCCTTGGTTTCACACCAAGATCCTAGGAGTTTTTGAAGGCAGAAACAGGACTGAGGAGGCTGCTGCTTCCCCTCCTGAGAAGACAAAGCCACATGCCTTCCTGGGAAGGGTAGGAAGCAACCTGATTTGCAGGAGGGACAGAGCTCACACAGGGGCAAGCTCTAGCCACAGGTCTGTAGTAGATCCACTGCCTCTCCATGGGTCCTCCTAGCTCCACTGGAGGAGCTGTTTATGTAAGGGACGCCCTCGCAAGCACCTCACCCTGCAGCCCCTGCAATTTCCTGCTGCAAGGGCATTTGATGCTGGCAGGTGCTCAAAGAGCCTGTTCCCCCTGCAACAGTGACACTCACAGACACAGCAGCCAAAACGTTAGAGCTCTTGGCAACCAGGCCTGGACAAAAGGCTCCATAAGAAATCTTAGTGACTATATTTTGCTGGATAATGTTATAAATGGATGTCATCTCCAGCAGATCACAGGAGAAGGGGGGAGCAGGGACAGGAGGAGGTATCAAATCAGTCATTGGAGAAAGCAGGAGCCTGGAACTACTCTTGTCTTCACATGAAACTCCATTTCTAACTATATTCCTGGATGAGGTGAGTCTCTGTTGGAGAGTCTCTCTGCCAGTGTGTGGATGGAGGTGCAGAAGCCACTGATAGGAAACATAGTGATGGGAGGGCACACAGGAGCCTTTAAGTGTCCAGTGGGGCACCTGGAATTTGTGAGGGCTTATTTGTCAGTGTATGATAACTGGCAAATTTCAAGCCAGCTTGGCCAGCGAGTGAGCCAAGAGGCTTTGGAGATGACTTTGAGACGGACTTAAGAGAGCAAGGGTCTGTCCGTTGGCTCCGACTCTTGGAGAGACCAGGACATCTGAGTCAAGTCTCTGTTTTACTGTCTGATCAGCCGCATGTCAATGTGAATTGCAGATATAAACTGTAAATGTGTGTGCATGTTCTSTGTGTGTGTGTGTGTGTGTGTGTGTGTGTGYRCGCGCCTACTGAGAATAACTGCTGGTATGGAAAGAGAGGGTCTTTCCGTGACTCTGAAAGACTGACTGCTGCACAGCAATCCAGGTAACAGCCACCCCTGTGGCTGTGACCTTGTGGTGTCTTGGCCTAAGGGAATGTCAGCTTTCTTTCCTCTTCTGTGCGCACCTTTAGCAGAGGGCTCTGGGCTTSATGTCTGAAGGAGCTTTCCACCTCCCAGTCTCCTTCCAGACAAGGTGAAACGACATCAGCCTGAACTCTTCACAGAGTGGGACAGAGTACTTCCAGGACATGGGGCAATCTCTACCAGGGTTCATGGTGACATTCCCCTCTTGTATTTGACAAGCTTTTCCTTAGCATTGCATGATAACTTCATGTCACAATGCTGTAATTGGTGTGTGGCACTCAAGCTSATACAATATACTCCTCCAACTTTCCTATGCTCTACTTTTTTCCAGGACAGACAGCAAAGAGCCGCTCCTGCTGGCARTAAAGCCCTGCAGGCAATTTAAAAACTGCACAAGACAAGTGACCAGCTTGAGCATCAGGTAAACCACAAAAAAAGCATGTTGTCCTCCTCCATAGGTGCACATGTAGCTTGTAACAGAAAATGCTGTTTTATTCTGTCAGAGACTTGAGAAAAATGGAGATTTGTGGTCAATTGTGGTCAGGAAAACAATTTTGGGTCAGGATTGGCTCTCTGACTGTAGTTCCTCATTTATTCTTTGCTGAAACACGCCACAGACCAGGCATTAATGGCATATGGGCAATCAGGCCAAAATGTTGCAAATAAGAGAGAACTGTACAAGTGGGCTGAGGAAACAGGCTTATACAGGTCAGTACTAGTAGCTGTAGATCAGTAGCAAAACATGGCAGAATTGTCAGCATGGAAGTATGATGAACCACAGGTAATTTATTGCTGCCTTATAGATTGATGCTTACAAAGAAGTTAGAATGCTGTGCTGTTATTAAACAAATCTCACTGAGGAGAAGCTTTTGCAACTGAAATTAAGATAATTATCTTTTAAACCAATGATGTCATATCTCATTCAGAGATGATGTTAGTCATGTACAGGTTCAGCTATGATAACATCATGGRGAGGCAGGTGGTTGTGGGTCTTGTTTCATATGATCCTTTTCATACCACCGTCCAAAAAGCGTCACAGTGACAACTGGCTTTGTTGGTCTTATCTTACTTATCAAACGTCCATCATTCAACACCTGATGGAAAAAARAAAARAGAGAGGATATAGAGGAGTACTCATAGGAACAAGGGAAAAGCTTACAAARGTATGAACAGATGAGGAGAAGGCATSTAAACCACACAGCTCCCTGAAACCAGTGTCTTCATTAAGAGGATATTRAATAAATCTAACAACTCACTATGAGCAAGTTCTCTTTGGCTTTCCTTGAGACAGTTTCTTCCATTACTAAGCCCCAGAGAACCTAATRTGAGACAGYTGAAGGGCATCCCATTACCTCAAATTCCCCAGGGGCCAGCTGAAGCCCACTGTACAGGACCTCTGGGAAGACGTATTTTGTGCCAAACGTGCCACTCAGAGAAAACAAGTCAAACTTGGTCTGAGCGGTCTCCACRGGCTGCCCACAGCTCTTCTGGTCTGTGCTTTTACACTTCAGCAGTGTGCATATCTGTGAAGGACAGAAGAAGCCARTGGATTTAGCATGAAGGAAAAGCTCCAATAGGAAACTGTCGGACTCCCTGAAAGACTCCCTGAAGGTCTGATGATCTAGTGCGTGAACAGAGCAAGTGAGTGGCACTGGCTGGAGGGGTGGGCACATCTATAAACTCTTGTATGCCATTTCTGAAGGGCTCATAGCTATGATATGAGTAAGAACACAATGGTAACATCTTTGGGAATCCAGATTATCAAGAGTATCTCATAAAGATGAATGTGTTTTAGAAGCGAACATTTGATAAAGATTTAGAGGAGAGAGTAACACTTACTACAGATACAGAAGTAAACACTGCTCTCTTGGAATTTAAAGGAAGTTTATACACYTCTCCACTGCAGCAGAGCTTAAGCAGAAAAAGATGTCTAGCTTTCCCTGTCTGATATTTTCTGTGTATACACCAATGTCAACACACATTTCAGTGTCAAAGACAAACGTGTTATAAGCACCTTAAGGACCATGTGAAAGGTCTACTGGCATGCCTTTTTGGTGGGATTGAAAACCTCAGTCTTGTTATGGAGAAGCAGAAGGGTGAGAGATGACTGTTCTGAACAGTTTAGAGAGACTCATGATGTCTTGCTGTTCTTCACATGCGTGTGCTACTTTAAGAGCTGTATAGACAGATAACAACTCTCAAGCAGCATGTCACTCTATTACCTACCCCTTTGCTTCCTAAAGTTGTACCCACAACCCTTTCAGGTCTTTATAGGGAAAGAGGAAAGGAGCATGCTGGATTTAAATGCAAGCAGACTGGAATATTTCAGTAACTACCTCTTGCTAACATATAGGATTCCAATGCTGCAGAATACAAGAAGAAAGTCGTGGTCCTTCCCTGCCATCCCAGGRGCAGAAGGTTTCTCCCAGTAAAGAAACTTCTTAAAATAATAGCYCCAAAGAAATCATTACCTGCAGGTAGTATTGTCCTTCAACAACATGAAGTCCATCAAAGGCACCTAATACATAAACTTCATCTTCTTGTTTCCCTGCCATCTTGTAGCTCAAGTGACAGCAGAGGTCATTCTGGCAAACCGTGAGATTCCCTTCAGATTTAGGGAGCTCAGTGAAAGTGAACATGTCATGGAAGATGAGCCCACTGAAATCATGGTCATTTGGTGAGAATCTCTYGACACGTGAAGCATAGGAGCTCCAGTTGATAGCAGGAGGGTAGGCAGGAGAAAGACGAGGATGTGAACTGAGTTCAGTAACAAGGAGACGACCATCCTCTGTTTTCATATTGTAATAATATGCTTTGGCTCCATCTGGTGCATAAATACCACTCCCTAAGGAGAGCACAAATCAAACATTTCATGTTGTCCTTTCAGTTATCCCATTGATAGTATATTCACAATTTTATCAGTACTACAGATACTTTAACGTCTCCAAAGGATTTTTTTAACAACTAAGTCCACAGAAATCATGCTTTGTCAGGGAATACCTTTTACATCTCCTCATGAGGGCTGCTTAGTGTAGCCAAAAGGCAGAGGGTTACCTTATGGCTTTATCTGTCTCCTCCCCAGTTCTCTTCTATTCTTATACACGGAACTRCATGAGAATGCCTCATTTCTGGGCTAACTGATGTAAAAGGACCATCCACTAGTTTGGAACCATTCAAAACGTAACTTAAACAAGTATTATAGGCCTATCCTGATGGACATGAAAGGACATGCAGCTCTGTATTCTAGTTTAGACTAGTTGAGAACTCCTCATCAAAATGATTTGATGATGAAAAAGATTCATGATTATTCAGTTAAAATTAATTACCTGTCATTACCATGCCAATGTTGTGTGTATTTGCAGAAAGCAAATTGACACCCATGCCCATAGCCCAGGCAGAGTGAAATTCAACAGCAGTCAGAAAAGGCAAGACGTTCATCCAGGCAGTTGGGAACAACACAGTGTCCACCTGTAACTTGCTCACCAGAACCACCGCAGGGTCATGGAAAAGTATGTCGAAGCAAGTGAAGATGCCAAACTTCCCAAAGGGTGTCTCAAAAGTGACAGCTTCTGGCTCTTTAGGGATATTAAACTGGATAGTTTCTGACATAAAGAGATTATACTGCAGGAAAGAAGAAAAAAAATAGAACTAACATAGCTAAAAACATCTTCCACAAAATCATCATGTCATTGCATAAAGCTATTCAGAATGACTAGAGAAGCTTTTTAACCTATTTTTGAAGCCTTATTATATAGAAAGTCAGGCTAACAYTGGTCAATCACTATTTTGCCCAGAAGATGTATATGAAGGCATGTATATWGACCTGAAAAAAAAGAAAAGCAGGTTGTTATCTGTAGACTTGTTGGTTTTGATTTGTCGCCTCCTGCTCCCATGAAAATAACCTCTCCAGTCTCCCCATGTAGCATAAAATTCTGACAGTCCAAAAGACACGAAGAAGAAACACACTAATGGAAGAAGTACACAGAGGACAGAAAAAAAAAAACAGACGGAAGTGGTGTCTCAGTAAAGAAAAAAAGAGACAGACGTTGAYGTAGATGCAAGGGAGGACTGGCAGCACACAGTACCTGCAGGAAGTGTGTGAAATATCACAGAAAAACCCAAAACAGTAGAAAAAAAATGGTTGTGATAGTGGGAAAGAGGCAGATGGCCTCAGCTGACAGAAAAATGCAAGCATGAGAAGTTCTCAGCTGTGCARTGTTTTCCTTCCAACTTTTCTTATACTCTGTAAGTCACGTGGATGATAAACTCATGTAACCAAGCCAGAAAGCAGGTTCATGGTTACTAGGGCAGTGTTTTAAACCTGGAACTCAGCTCCAAGCTGGCAGATTCCTGATTACTGGGGCAATATCACAAACSTGAACCTGAGCCAAGTGGGCCTGGGCACAGCTGGTAAAACGGGGATTTCACTCCARTAATTATCAGTTCTCCCTCACCTAGTTTGCTCAGAAACAGATACTTTGGCATCATTCGAGGAGAAGTAGGTGAAATAATGAGTCTAAAGTGCATTACATAGACAACTGACTTCAAACTACCCTTGTCAGCATGATATCTGGCCTGSTCATGGAAATCTTGACATTTGCACTGGAACTCAGCAGAGCTCTGATGAGCTTACTGGGATCTTTCCCTCCAGACTTTCCTGCAGTACCAAGTCATGACATTTCCGAACAAAGGAAAGAGTGGAGCACTTGATACTTGGGAAACACCCAATATTTAAGAATTAGAGGGTAAAGGGATTTTTCTTAAATCAAGGAGTTACCTATCTGATACTATTATCTGTATTTTAGGACAAGAGGAAATGGCCTCAAGTTGCACCAGGGGAAGTTCAGGTCAGATAKTAAGAAAAARAACTAGAGTTTTGGGGGTTTGTTAAACTGAGAAAGTCTGTCAAAAATATCTGCCACTGAATGGGACCTGAGCAATCATTTTTCATTCTAGTCTGTTTTTACAAACACAAGAAAATGCAGCTTTACAGTCAATATATCCCACCAAAAGAAATATTCTTTAAAATTACAGACACACACACACACACACACAAAGGACAACTGAATGGCATTAAATTCCCTTTAAGAAAGCGGATATACTGGAAACCATGGAAGAGTAGCTCC